CCAGCCAGTACATGCCCAGCCGCATCTGCGCTATTTGCAGTCGCATGCGATCCGAGGTGGAGGCTGGCTACATGGCGTTGGAGGACATACCCAACTTGGCGCTACTGAGAGCCGATGTGATGCGCACGCCGGCTGTTCGGCGACCCGCCAATGTAGTGTACTGGCGAAAAGAACCTCGTCTGCCCAACGGACAGCCTACAGCACCTCCTGATCCGGCGCCCCCGTTCAACTATCGCGCTCCTCGCCTCCGCAAGCAGGAGGGCACTGCCGTGGACCAACGCAAGGCACGCGATGTAGACCAAGAAGAGGAACATCGCGCTGTTGCAGTTAATGCATCTGGACACACCGGGGCGTACGGACATTCCGCGGACCCCATTGTCGCAGACGGCTCTGCCGGGGCCGTTCTAACCGCTCGCCAGCAGGGCCATCAGCGCATGGTCACCGGTCGGGATGAAGCAGACGTGGCGGAATACGCACGAGAGGCAGTTGAAGATATCGCGGCGGGTGAAGCCGCCAAGGTGCCTGCCGACCTCGTCCCGTTTCCACCACGGCAGGATCGCCTGCCGCGTGCCTGTGAGGACGACCCCGCGTATGTACAGATTGCCTATTGCCTTCGACACGACTTTGATTTGCCGAACCGCACAGTCATGCGGGATCCTGAAACTGGGCAGGAGCGCTTGTGCGTGTGCAAGGAGTGCATCACAGCTCTAACAGGTATGTGATGTTGTGGTGGTGGGCGTTTGGTCGGGTGCTCAGCCGAGAACATGGCTTGCCTTGCACATTCTGGAGGGTGTTGGGGTTGTAAGGCCGTGAAGGGGAAAGCAACGCCTGCACTGGCAACTGTCCAGTTGAAACATTACAAAGTGCCATTCGTGACCTGCAGGGGGCAAAATTCCCGTCGCGGCACTTGCACGGATTGATGGCGGTGACGTCCCCCCGGTCAACCACCTGGGCGACCCCCTGATAATGCCAAACCCAGCGGAGGCTTCCTTGCTTGGAATGGTGATGCCTCACCAGCAGCTGTACATCGTTCAGACCCCCAATCGCCCGCCAGAGTTACGCCCAGCCGCTGTGAAGGCGCACGGCATTTTCTTTGCTGCGCCGGGGCCAACTCTTCTGCGGGACACCATCCCCATGACCGCCGCTGAGTTTGCTGGCTACATTGATGTGTATCACGTCGACCTGTGCATGACGCGCGAGGAGTTGGTGCAGAAGTTAAAGCACGCAAAGGCCTTCAAGGTACACATGGCGGGACTGACATGCCTGTCTGGAGAACACAATCTTTTCTTGCGGGCAAACGACTGCTCCCCCACCTTGTGAAATACCTCACAATGTCTTGCAATGCTGTTCGACTAAGCTATTTCCCGACCCATCATGCGTTCAGGTCCGTGGGCACGTGCTAGTCCCGTGGGTTCGGTACCTGCAGCACTTGGACGCGGCACTGCTGGTGGACGAAACGTCCTTGGCGGAATGGGTTGCTCGCAGCGGCCCGGACGGCGCGGTGCCCCTACCAACGGCCCCTATGGGTTAATCCGGCCTACGGATCAACTTAATCCGTCTTAATCCGTTTTAATCCGGGATAAGCCTGTTAGGCAGGTTAAGGCGCGTGCATGCGGATACAAACGGATTACATCGGATTTATCATTGATCCAACCGCATAATCCAATGTAACATTTGTGCCTCTACCGGATTAATGCGGCTTAAGCGCACGAAGTTGCACCTGTACCTAGAGGTCACATACAAAGCATGCCAACTACCATAACCAAATAAACTGTCGTAGAACACGTGGGTGGCCAAGCGGTGCCTCGCTTGCCCTGTGTATGGGACCTAAGGGTCACATCCAGAACCAATGCATGTTTACTGGATGCCAATCAGGCACAGTCGCTCCCTTTGCTAGCCGTACATGGCTGGACAAGCTGTGCCTCGCTTGCCCTGTATGTGGGACCTAGATAGACATGACGGCAGTCAGGCCGTTGTGGCCGCCTCATACAGCCCCTACAAATAAAGCAACGGGGCAGTAGTAAACTAGGAGCACACGCATGCCAACTACCATAACCAAACTGTCGTAGAACACATGGGTGGCCAGGCCGTTGTGGCCGCCCTCATACAGCCCCTACAAAGCAACGGGGCAGTAGTAAACTAGGAGCACACGCATGCCAACTACCATAACCAAACTGTTGTAGAACACGTGGGTGGCCAGGCCGTTGTGGCCGCCTCATACAGCCCCTACAAATAAAGCAACGGGGCAGTAGTAAACTAGGAGCACACGCATGCCAACTACCATAACCAAACTGTCGTAGAACACATGGGTGGCCAGGCCGTTGTGGCCGCCCTCATACAGCCCCTACAAAGCAACGGGGCAGTAGTAAACTAGGAGCACACGCATGCCAACTACCATAACCAAACTGTTGTAGAACACGTGGGTGGCCAGGCCGTTGTGGCCGCCTCATACAGCCCCTACAAATAAAGCAACGGGGCAGTAGTAAACTAGGAGCACACGCATGCCAACTACCATAACCAAACTGTCGTAGAACACATGGGTGGCCAGGCCGTTGTGGCCGCCTCATACAGCCCCTACAAATAAAGCAACGGGGTAGTAGTAAACTAGGAGCACACGCATGCCAACTACCATAACCTAACTGTCGTATAACACATGGGTGGCCAGGCCGTTGTGGCCGCCTCATACAGCCCCTACAAAGCAACGGGGCAGTAGTAAACTAGGAGCACACGCATGCCAACTACCATAACCAAACTGTCGTAGAACACGTGGGTAGGTGGCCAGGCCGTTGTGGCCGCCTCATACAGCCCCTACAAATAAAGCAACGGGGTAGTAGTAAACTAGGAGCACACGCATGCCAACTACCATAACCAAACTGTCGTAGAACACATGGGTGGCCAGGCCGTGGTGGCCGCCTCATACAGCCCCTGCAAAGCAACGGGGCAGTAGTAAACTAGGAGCACACGCATGCCAACTACCATAACCAAACTGTCGTAGAACACATGGGTGGCCAGGCCGTGGTGGCCGCCCTCATACAGCCCCTACAAATAAAGCAACGGGGGCAGTAGTAAACTAGGAGCACACGCATGCCAACTACCATAACCTAACTGTCGTAGAACACATGGGTGGCCAGGCCGTGGTGGCCGCCTCATACAGCCCCTACAAATAAAGCAACGGGGCAGTAGTAAACTAGGAGCACACGCATGCCAACTACCATAACCAAACTGTCGTAGAACACGTGGGTGGCCAGGCCGTGGTGGCCGCCTCATACAGCCCCTGCAAAGCAACGGGGCAGTAGTAAACTAGGAGCACACGCATGCCAACTACCATAACCAAACTGTCGTAGAACACATGGGTGGCCAGGCCGTGGTGGCCGCCCTCATACAGCCCCTACAAATAAAGCAACGGGGGCAGTAGTAAACTAGGAGCACACGCATGCCAACTACCATAACCAAACTGTCGTAGAACACATGGGTGGCCAGGCCGTGGTGGCCGCCTCATACAGCCCCTACAAAGCAACGGGGCAGTAGTAAACTAGGAGCACACGTATGCCAACTACCATAACCAAACTGTCGTAGAACACGTGGGTGGCCAAGCGGTGCCTCGCTTGCCCTGTGTATGGGACCTAGACATGACGGAAGTCAGGCCGTGGTGGCCGCCTCATACAGCCCCTACAAAGCAACGGGGCAGTAGTAAACTAGGAGCACACGCATGCCAACAACCATAACCAAACTGTCGTAGAACACATGGGTGGCCAGGCCGTTGTGGCCGCCTCAAACAGCCCCCACAAAGCAACGGGGCAGTAGTAAACTAGGAGCACACGCATGCCAACTACCATAACCTAACTGTCGTATAACACATGGGTGGCCAGGCCGTTGTGGCCGCCTCATACAGCCCCTACAAAGCAACGGGGCAGTAGTAAACTAGGAGCACACGCATGCCAACTACCATAACCAAACTGTCGTAGAACACGTGGGTAGGTGGCCAGGCCGTTGTGGCCGCCTCATACAGCCCCTACAAATAAAGCAACGGGGTAGTAGTAAACTAGGAGCACACGCATGCCAACTACCATAACCAAACTGTCGTAGAACACATGGGTGGCCAGGCCGTGGTGGCCGCCTCATACAGCCCCTGCAAAGCAACGGGGCAGTAGTAAACTAGGAGCACACGCATGCCAACTACCATAACCAAACTGTCGTAGAACACATGGGTGGCCAGGCCGTGGTGGCCGCCCTCATACAGCCCCTACAAATAAAGCAACGGGGGCAGTAGTAAACTAGGAGCACACGCATGCCAACTACCATAACCTAACTGTCGTAGAACACATGGGTGGCCAGGCCGTGGTGGCCGCCTCATACAGCCCCTACAAATAAAGCAACGGGGCAGTAGTAAACTAGGAGCACACGCATGCCAACTACCATAACCAAACTGTCGTAGAACACGTGGGTGGCCAGGCCGTGGTGGCCGCCTCATACAGCCCCTGCAAAGCAACGGGGCAGTAGTAAACTAGGAGCACACGCATGCCAACTACCATAACCAAACTGTCGTAGAACACATGGGTGGCCAGGCCGTGGTGGCCGCCCTCATACAGCCCCTACAAATAAAGCAACGGGGGCAGTAGTAAACTAGGAGCACACGCATGCCAACTACCATAACCAAACTGTCGTAGAACACATGGGTGGCCAGGCCGTGGTGGCCGCCTCATACAGCCCCTACAAAGCAACGGGGCAGTAGTAAACTAGGAGCACACGTATGCCAACTACCATAACCAAACTGTCGTAGAACACGTGGGTGGCCAAGCGGTGCCTCGCTTGCCCTGTGTATGGGACCTAGACATGACGGAAGTCAGGCCGTGGTGGCCGCCTCATACAGCCCCTACAAAGCAACGGGGCAGTAGTAAACTAGGAGCACACGCATGCCAACAACCATAACCAAACTGTCGTAGAACACATGGGTGGCCAGGCCGTTGTGGCCGCCTCAAACAGCCCCCACAAAGCAACGGGGCAGTAGTAAACTAGGAGCACACGCATGCCAACTACCATAACTGGATACTACAGACCACCACTGCCACCATTCCAAACAACAACCCCCCCGCAAATTCGTCAGTTTTCCTTGTTCCCCCCCGCATCTACTGCACTGCGCAATCAGTCCCCATCACCTAGTTAACCCGGATGCCAGTTCCCGCAGCCGTATCGCTATAAAACGCATATAGTCTCCCGCGGCTTTATTAGAGTTGGGGCCGCATGCATGCTGCAAGCGACCTCCAGGGGTTTTGACGAGGGCTGCGGCGGCCAGATCCAGAAGTCTGCGTACCACTTCAAATGACGGCATCACGGCGCCTTCAGCCCATGCATTCTGAACTTCTTCCACCAGGGACCTGCACTCGGCTACCAGCTGAGTCTGTACCACGCAAACGGTAGGGCCCACGGCACTGGTGCGGAAGAGGACTGTGGCTAAGGTTGCTCCGAAGCTGTATACGTCAAACGCCAGGGTGTGGTAGGTGGTGGTAGCCTGTGGGTCGGGCTGACCCTCGGCTTCTGGGGGCCGGTAGCCAGGGGTGCCCACCTGCAACGTGACAACCAAAGGAAACCATAACTGATGACACCACTGTCACAAAGTTTGCATTGCTGACCGTACGAAATATGGCAACGCGTGGGAACAGCCGTTTCACCTTCTATCCGTATGATAAACCTATTGTTTCCGTTAAGTTCAGTCCCATTGAAGCACTCCAGTGGTTCAACTTACCAAGCCAAACCGCGTGCCGGACTCCACGGTCACATCATAGTCTGCTAGTAAACCGACGACGCCGTGACCACGATCAGTGACCTGCAAAAAAGCAGCGAAGATCCAATTGGATGGTGGTGGCGGCGGTGTGGGAGGAGGGGGGTCCAGAGGGGGGCTCGGAAGTGGAAGCCAGGGGGGCTCTTTCACTGTCAGCCGCCACCCCATTGTACATCCCTCCACCTTGCTCTAAGGGTTACTATCAGCAAACAAGAGGACATGCTCACCAGGATGTTAGCAGGCTTGATATCCCTGTGAACCAGCCCTGCGTCGTGCAACACTGCAGCGCCATTGGCGGCGTCAGCAAGCAGCCCGACAACCTGCTGGAGTGGCAGGTTGGGTCCTGGCGGTTCCAGGCTGCCATGGGTCGCCTCCTCCCAGACCAGACCAGTTACCGATCCCGCCGGGCTATGGGCTATCCCTACGAGCTGCAACAGGTTCTCAGAACAGCAGGTCATCCCCACTGTGATGTTCTGCCGGATAGCACGAAGGACGTCGGTACTGGTGCTTGGGCCCAGTGTAAACCGCTTGATGGCCACCCTGCGTGCGGAAGCTGTAACACCAGCTGTTACCGAGCCAAACCCGCCCGCTCCAAGCTTGATCCAACCGGCGCCGGCCGCTGGCCGCAACCGAGATGCGGCCCGCTCCATTTCGCGCACCTCATCCAGGCTGTACCGCTGCACGGGCTCCATTGTACGCTGAGGGATCAGGACGGGTGGAACAAAGTCTTGCGGTCAAAGGTGATCGTACATGTAGGTAAATACGGTTTAGTGATCATGGGTTAGTCACCGCATTTAGGCATACATCCGAAATATCTTACGTATACGACAGTTCTTTTTCTCACATTGAAGGAAAGTGGTTGGATGGAGAGAACCAAGCAGGTCTCCCGCTTAGTGGCCTTGCTGGTTCCCTCGTGTGTCACAAATCCTATTGCTTCAAAGAACCTCTTGCCCCCGGCATTGTCAGCGGCTACTGTCACGACCACCGCCGCAAGTTGGAGCCGCTCCGCAAAGCGTACAAGGCCCCTGACGAGGCCACTGCCGATACCGTCACGCTGTGCCCGCTCTTCCACACGTACTTCAGACAGGCGCAGCACTAGCTTCGCGTCATCAAGGTCCGGCCTGGGAACATCAGTACCAAGTGTTGCTAATGAGGTTAAGGGATTCGCATGGCAAGAAGGGTGTGGTGCTATAAAGATAGACATGTGTGAGGTAATCCCGGTAGGATGATGGGAGGCTGTTGAGCGTTAGACTGAAAGGTGGAACGTCGTACCTGTAAGCTGCATATGCTACAGGTACTTTTGCCCCTCGGTCCTCGATAAAGATGAACTGGACAGATGCCTGCACAAAAACAAAACGTGACAACAAGGCGTGCAGCCTAGCAATACGCATGAGCCCCCGCCACTTACATTGCTAAACTCTCCACGTTTCTGCTCCACCATCTTCCGCATACTTGCTTCCCTGCCCCTAGCCGTGTCTCTTTGAGAGCGGCTCAGCTTTCCCCTTCGACCAAGGGCTTTCGGTGTGCTCCCTGGCACCCCATTGTCTAAAAGAGAAGATGCATCGTTAGCAAAGCACAGCCCCAGCGCCCATTCTAGCAGCCCTGGGGGCACGGACTGTGCTGTATAAAACGCATAGCGGTCAGCGAGGGCAGTTGGAAGGTCAGCTACTGTTAGACGTTCGTTCTGCACTACAGCCAACCGCAGCTGTAGGCTGGTGTCTGTAAGGAAATCGGACAAGTCAGCACCAGTGTGACGCTGCCACCACCACTGGGCTTTGGAAATGGAGTCTGGATAATCGCTGAGATTTTGGAGCATGGGCGGCCGCTTGCTGCTCTCCCCCGTGTACCTAGCGAACACCCACATGGGGTATGTTGCCTTGCCACCTGTACGTGCAAACCGTTATCAGGCGCAGTCACCATCAAGCTATCTGGCTACGCGTATGACCTACGTTCCTGCCGCGCATTCAGCCGGCATAACAGCACCATTGGGCCAAAGCCCCACTCCAGCTCCATCACCTCCTCGGGATGGGGTGAGCGCCCAAGGGTGTCATGCAAAGTGGAGTTGTGAGACCAGTTAGCCTGGTAGCAGACCAGGACACAGCCCTGCAGGCAAACCGTGCAAGTTTAAGGGCTTGCCTGCTAAATTAACATTTTGCATCACGGCGCCTACCTTAAAGGCAGTGCTGTCCTTGACGGCGCGGCCTGTAACCGCCAATGCTTCGCGGGGAATGCCCTCACAGAAGCTGTAGATGTGCGAGGTCGCAGCAAGCCGTGCACGGACCCGGTCCCAAGATCCACCAGCCTCACGGGTCATGTCATGGTGGATAACCTCCATCAAAGTGTCCAGCTGACCCACAGGGGCCGCTAAGCCTGAGGAGGGCACACACGGCAAGCGGCACTCATAGTAAGCATGCCAAGGCTATCGACACCGTCTCCTACCTCCGAACAATTGGCCTAATTCATAGCTTCGGTTCGTACTATTCAGCTAAGAGGCTCAAGGAAGCCACAAGTACCCACCTTTCTTTATTAGGTCGCCGTATACCTGAGGTAGGAATGCAACCGCTTTTTGGATTTTGCTGTCATCGCACTCCGCCATCCACGCCGACGACACGCATGCAGCCACCTTGGCAAACGGGAGCATCCTGGATTCAAAGTGTGTCGAAAGCGGTTCAGTACACCTAACGCATTGATGTGAGGTAGGTATCCCTGTACAACTAACACACCTGCCAATAGCGCCACCCAAGTCGAATACAACGCTGGAGTTGTCCATGTGAAGGAAGGTGCTCATGCTCTGAAAGGCAAGCTTAATTCCTGCCTTCGTGATAGACCCGCCCATGCCCTCCAGCCCACATGCGCCACCCAGCTTGTCCTCCCACGCCCCGCAGATGTTGTCTACCTCCGTGTACGGCCGATTGGTTACTTTTGACGCCATCGGGAAGGAAAAAGGGTCGTCAGGGTAGGACGACAACGTTAGCGGGAGAGGGGTTGAGGGAAAGAGGAACAACTATTTATGGCAAGGCGCTACACTATTACACTGTTACGCATGGGAGGTTCAAGAATGGAGGGGCGGTGAGGTAGGGGGGTCGCTTAGGAAATCCAGGCCAATATTTGCTTTATGGTATAGCGCTACAGCACCACCATCTGCTTACATACCTGCTCTACCATCCCCCTCCACTCCTCCGCCGCCTGCATTAATTGCCATTGCACCCTCGGTGCTTTCCTTGAGTGTCATATCTCCTGGCACTGGATGCACGACAAAGAAAATTATGGATGTGGAGAGCAGCGGGTAGGGGAAGAGGGAGGGGAAGAGGGAGGGGGTGTGTTGAGGGAGCTGATGGCATTCGTTGGAACGGGACGGGGTGTATGGAATAAAAAAAACGGTGGGGTTTGTTCTTAGGCCCTCCTAAGAAGCCCTGCTCTGAGGCGTCCCTCATCCCTGCCCTCCCACCAGGCGCACGTTGCGTCAACTCCTCCCTCGCAAGCCCCCCTCCCCCCGCCCCCTGCCCCATGTGAATCTTTGTCATACAGCTCCCTTACTTTTGAACATCACTGTAATGCCGACATGCATGCTTGCACGTTGAATGGTTCGTGTCCACACGGCCCTAACCCGGCATTCGTCCTTAGACTTCCCTGTGCATGCAGCAGAGACTTTGGGTGCACAGGGCGGGAGCTGCTGTTGCTGAGGCTCCAGATTCTCCTCTAGCCCTTGCTGATGCTCTAGCGACGCACCACGTTGCTCTGGAACTGGTAACTGAGCAGGTAGGAATCGTGCAGCTGTCCAGGACCGCAGGAAGTCGTGAGCAGGCACGTGGCGCCTCACTTCTACCCACTTCTCCTGCTCCTTGCTGAAAACTCGGAGGCTCTGCGCCCACGCCCGCCTCCTTGGCAGGCCCATGTCTACGCATACTGAATGCACTGACACTAGGCCTGCCTCTGGGTGCACCCGAATGCTACTGCTTGTAGGCGGCTTCACCCCAAGATCCACGCACATAACCTCAGCAACACTAGCGCTGCACATTAACAGAACGTATCGGATGGCCTCCTTGCTTGCAATTGTTATGCGGCCTAGGACGGCCTGCTGATTAGACTGATGCTCCCCTGTTTCAGAGAACTGGAGCTCCAACGGCGGTACGTATGGCTGGATGCTGTCATTCTGTGCCAGCACCTGGATAGCCCCTCTTCCGTGGCCAGTGGACCTCATCTCCTTTGCTTTGACTAAACTGGAAGCATGGAGTGCGCGCTCCAACAATTTTAAATTGAGGAAACCGTCACACCCGGTGGCATCAGAGTGAGAATGCGCAAAGTTAACTATGTAAAGGAGAATAGCAACGTTCAGGAGCGAACATATGACGCGTCGTTCCATGCATTAAGCTATGACTGCATAAGTAGAGCACATGTACACTTTCGGTGTCCTGCATTTAATGCAATCCACAATTATTTCCTACTGCTGCTGAGTAAGCTGATAACGTTTGCCTATCAGTCTATGGATGAGGCTCCAGGGACAGCACTTGAAGGGAACTCTTCAAGTGCTTTCTTCATGCCCAGTCCTGCCTAAGTTCGGGCAATACTTGATCGTGTAATATAGAAGAATACAATGTTTAGGTACTCCTTATGACAGAGGACTTGCACACGACAAAGGGGCCCCACGGGTCCCGGCCATGGCCAATCGGCCTTGGCGCCGCCTTTGTACTGGTGGCCCTAATCGCCTGCACCGCGTGCATGGTCGGCGAAGGTGCTAAGCGCTGGTGCCTATGCCGTAGCTGTGTAGCCAGTGCCGTTGAGCTTGGTCGAGCTAAGAAGTTAACGGATAGGACCACCCAAACACACGCCAGACAGAATGGTACTTTTGAGGGGAAACTTAAATGGCTTCCCGTGTCTGGTGGACGAGATGCGGATTATTACATTATCTGTGTAAGATTTATAGCGGCATACCTCAGGAAGGTGTGTATGCTGGGGGTTTGGGCTGCATAAACCAGTGGACGCGCCTTGTTGAGCGCTATAGAAGCCTCACCCATCCCGTTGTCCAATGCAGATATCGAGGAGGGCTCGCCGTCAACATCACCTATGCTCCCAGGAGTCCAAGGGAACGTAGCACCCGCTGCCTCACCCAGCCGTGGCCCGGACGCTAGCCCTGCTATGATGCCTTTGGCAATTCCTGAACTTGTGCTCGCCGATTGTTATAGAAACATTCGATTAGACTTACAATACAAGAACGTGTAGGCCAATTGTGTAGCGAATGGGCCCCTCTGACCTGGACGCGGAGCGTGAAGCGACCATGGCTAGGAACAATGCCATTCTGGAAGAGATTGGCTTAGGAAATGCCTGCAAGGAGTTCAAGGATGCTGCGGCTAAACTTAGGCCAGTGTCGGGCAAGAAGCGGCAACAAAGCACTAAAGGTCCGCCACTCCGCAAGTCTTCCCGTCTGGAGGGGCGACCCCAGCCAGGCAACGACCAGGAAGTTAGCGACGAAGATGAGGAGAATGAGGCTGCTGTAAGCCTGGATTCTGAGGAGGAGAAGAACGGGACGGTAAGCAATTGACCTCGTTTGACCGTGGCAATTCGTTCATAATCAGCCACATTTCGTTGAAAATAGCATGTAACTTTCAGGTAACGGACGGCGACGAGGCACCTGAGCTGTGGTCGGATGAGCAGGAGGGCTGGGCAACCGGTCAAGGATGGAATCTCGAGGATGGACCCGGCGAGCTGCTTCACAGGCTGGCGTTGTTCCAGGTCATCGGCATTAGAATGGATCAGCGCGAGTCCTTCTTGCGGTGGTACAAGAACTCGCGGATTATGACTGTCGAGGGCATTACCGCTCAAGACCTGAAGATGCCATGCGCCTTCACGACTATGTTTGATGCGGGGATACAAGAGCGCCTCACGCAGGTGAGATGCTAAGTATGTAGGAGGATGCTCCGTTCTATAGATATATTAATCCGTGCATGGATAGATAGCAAGTAGGAATGACCCGTGGGTTATTTTTCTTGTAATGACTGTTAGTTCCGACCATTCCCTCTCCTGCTTCCCATGTATGGCCCCATAGGTAGGCATGTCGCTTTTCGACGTGAAGAAGGTGGAGAAGGCGATGGAGGAGGCGGCGAAGGCGGCGAAGGAGGCAGCGAAGCTGCTCGAGGCACCCAAATCACGAAAGTCGGGCTCGTTGCCAACACCAGGCGGCCCCTCCCTCGGGTCGTCCTCTGCTAACCAGCGGCAGGGAAAACGTACCAGCGAGAAGGTGACCAAGAAGATTGAGAGCGTGTACGGGCAGGCTGTGTTGGCGAGCCGGGAGGCCTTCAAGAGCCTGGAGGTAAGTTACGATTTGGGAGGGCTGTACGGACCTTTCCTGTGGCTTCACTCATTAACACCTGCAACATAAAAGCGCTGTGGTTGTACGTTTGGATTGCCGACCTTTACCATGTGGCAACTTTGTTACACGCTGCCCCCCCCCCCCCCCCGCACACACAGCCCTCGGTGATGGAGGCAAACGACTTGAAGATCATCAAAGACATGGGGGAGCACATCCGGTGCCTGCTGGGCGTGGGACAAGGTGCGCCCATGGAGACAGTGAAGGCCAGGCTGCGGCAGGCGGTGCAAGTGAAGGCTAAGAACATGCGCCGATGCAGCAAGCCAAGTGAGTTTTGCAAGGGAAATCAAGGGGCATATGTCCTACCTTTAAGCGGGTTTTACCTTTCATGACACACACGCCTTATTGCGGCCTGTTTTACGTTGTTACACGTTGTTTCCCCGCCCTTGCCGAACCCATGTCTCCTTCCATCCCTCCCGTTATAGAAGACGTGAACCTGGACACGGTCGATGAGGAGGAAGGCCTGCAGCCGGCATCACCATCAGCACCGGGTGAGGAGGAGGAGCCAGCCACGCCCGAGGTGCCCAAGCCGTACATGTGGGCTAAGCTGCCTGGAGGGGACACGGAGAAGTACGCTGCGGCTGACAACCACCTCGACTGGCTGGCGGACTTCGACATAGGGGACAACGCAGGGTGCATCCTTGTGGGAAGCCTGGACAAGGACGAGTTGGTTCCGGTAACACTTGGCTGCGGCCTGCTGCTGGACCCACTGGTAAGTAGCCTTGCTGGGCTTTTACATCTGTGTCGTTACGTTCTGGCTGGTGCCGCAAGTATGCTGCACCCCCTTGAGCTCATCTCTTGCAACAGTCGCATACCTTCTGTCCTGGCAACCCCATGCGCAAAACCAAGGTTTGTTCGATTGTATGTTCCCGCACTGACGTGTTAGGACGCCAAGACCGACCCGGCGGCTACCGTTGACGTCCTGGTCTTTGGCATCAACACTAACGTCAAGCGCACCAAGAACGCTTACATGCCGTCCAGTGTGGGCGGCAAGACTAGCACCTTTGCGCTGGAGGAGAAGGACAAAGACGGCAAGCTGGTACGCAAGCTTGCAAGGTCCCAGACGGTAAGCTGTAGGGGGTATCGTTGACGTCCTAGGACCCAGGGTGTGTGTTAAAATAACCCGCCAGTGCTCACCCTTCAATCTCTTCGCAACTGTTGTCTTCCAACCCAAGAACCGAGCAATCCATTTAGGTCTTATTGCAAGCAATTGCCTAACTTTCATCTTATCTTGTCCTTACCGTGTCATGCAGGTCAAGTGGCCTGTCATGGGCATCCTGCCCACATTCAATGGTAGCACCGGCATAACGGTGTCCATGACTTTCTACGGGACTCGCGAGAAGGACATCGCCACCATCAAGACGTGCCTAGCGCAGAAGCGGCAGGCACGCGCTGTTGAGGGGAAGTAGTAGAATGCGTAGGCTTGTGTGGCGTACAGCGTCCTTGGTTTTACCCCTTTACTCCCTGGACGGATGGCCACATAGTGAGGATCATAATACGACTCTGAGATGCACAAAGGAAGCACACCGGTGCATGGCATGGGGAAGGCATCTGGACCAACGAGACAGCGTATTGCCTGTTGTGACCATGTGCGTCGCAGATGGATGCTTTGCGTTAAACAGACTGTACCTATGTATTTCACATCATGCCGTCGAAATGACAATTCGGCCCAGGTGCATAGGGCATAGCGTGGGGGAGCGTGTTGTGTTCAGTTGCATTACCGCATAGCATTACGTTAGGACACCCGTTTTTACCAACACACATGTTGCTTCATGTTGGAGACTCAGTAATTGGCTTTGGAGTTGCTTGGTGGCAGAGTGAAGGAGCTAACCTGTCATACGGCATATATATTCCTCTACTTGTTTTGGATGTTAACTGGGCAGGCCCTCATCTGGGGCGTAGTGCCAACACCTGAAGAATGACGAAATCAAAGAAGAGCATAAGAGCCCTAACTTCTTGCTTGTTGTGAATGAATGGTTGACAGTTACAATAGTTCGTGTTGTGTCCTTCTGTCATGGTGCTGCCAAGCAGCATTCAACCGTCAACTGGGCTCCTCATTGGCCCTTTTTAACCTGACGACCCCTGTTTACCTAATCAGTCAGCACACGGGCTCCCAGCTAATCCCTTTTTATCTAATCCGTCAGCACTCGTGCACGGCTCCCAGCTAATCCCTTTTTATCTAATCCGTAAGCACTCGTGCACGGCTCCCAGCTAATCCCTTTTTATCTAAGCCGTCAGCACCCGTGCACGGCTCCCATCTAATCCCTTTTTATCTAAGCCGTCAGCACTCGTGCATGGCTCCCAGCTAATCCCTTTTTATCTAAGCCGGCAGCACTCGTGCACGGCTCCCAGCTAATCCCTTTTTATCTAATCCGTCAGCACCCGTGCACGGCTCCCAGCTAATCCCTTTTTATCTAATCCGTCAGCACCCGTGCACGGCTCCCAGCTAATCCCTTTTTATCTAATCCGTCAGCACTCGTGCACGGCTCCCAGCTAATCCCTTTTTATCTAATCCGTCAGCACTCGTGCACGGCTCCTAGGTAATCCACGTTAATCTAATCTGCCTGTGCATGGTTTTGGCTTAACATGGATTACAGTAACCCCAGCAAATCCAACTTGAACCATTCTAATCGGATTACCATGCTTGCACAACTGCACGTGCACAGTCGGATCAGATCAATTGTAATCCCTTTCGATCCCCGTTAAGTCGGAAATCAGGAAATTTTGATCCGTGGTAATCCGGGATCATCCAGCTCAAAGTCGTGTACACGAGAACGGATTAACAGCCAAAACAGCTGCGGATTAACCCATAGGGGCCGTTGGTAGGGTGCCCGCAGAGTTGCTCGCAAAGGCACTCGCCCCAAAGGACCCCGAGGTAGCGGCCATCCTACGCAACCAGTTCAACCGTGATCGAACAGGCAACACCACAACACAGCAGCAGCAGCAGCGAGCAGAAGCATCCGCGTTGGCATCTGCAACAGCACCGCCTGCAACCCATGTTGCAGGCCAAGGCACGCTCGCGCTGGGTACTCCAGCCATCGCAGTTGTCAGCGCGCAGTTGGCAAGGACGGCAGCAGCGGCAGGTGAATGCCCGTCAACCGCCTCGGCTCCCCACTCTAGCACCTGCGCAGTTGGGCGCCAAGGAGCGGGCAACGCAGTCGCAGCCGGTAGAAGTCACGGCTTTGCGGCTATGGACGACACTTGTGAGGAAGGCGAGCAATACTTGGACGAGGTGGAGCTGATCATGCCTGTTCAGCCGCCGGAAGCCGTACCGGGCTCGGGGACAACGACGTGCAACGCGCAGCTTGTAGCAGCTATGTTGCGGAACGAAAAAAACCTTGTGCAGATGGCGGGAGGGCGGCAGGCCAAACCACTTGACGACAACGACCCCATGGTCCTAGCCATGGCGTTCCCCACTGTGTTCCCCGACTATCGCGGCGGATCCAGGCCGCCGGGAATGACCTTGGAAAAGTACGCCTCCATACTTGTTGCCAGAGTGCCGCGCTGCCAATACCAGCAACAGCAGTTCCTGGCGCGCTTGTACGACATGCTCTTCAAGCTCCGTGTTCGCAACAGCGTCTACATCACGGCGAGGTCGGCTCCGCATCTTGTCAAACAAGCCGGGCGCATCCCACGTGACGTTGTCAAAGTCATGGCCGACGTGCTCTCGTTGCCCCGCAACCATGCCATGCGCAAGGGCCTACTTGAGAACGAGTCGGAGATGGTGCAAGCGCTCGTAACGTCGGTTCGCCGCTCTGCAGCTCGGGTGGACCTGACGGACCCCTACTACAGTACCGCCCAGCAGGTGTTGCGTACAGTGGCCATTGCGCTTGGGCCAGGCACCTTTTTCTACAACGTCAACCCTAGCGCTATGCATAGCCACATGGTGGCGACAGCGGCCGGGGAGGTGGTGGAGTTTGGCGAGGGTGGCAGGCCCGCACATCCGCAGACCGCCCTTGCCATGTGGCGCCGTGCCAAGGCCAACCCGTACGCGTTCCAGGCGTACATGCACGCTGTTGAGGTGGCGTTGAACAAGGAGCTATTCGGCTGGCTCCCTGGTCACCGACGCCAGGCGAATCCACACTGCTTCGCGGGACGTGTATTTTCGCTGGAGTCGAAAATTGAGGAAACGGGGCGCAAGGAGCTGCATATCCACGGCATAGCACGCTTAGCCACATTTTGTGTGGAGCGGCTAAAGTCCATGTTCGACGGTCCAAACTGCCGGGCACTGGCGCTGGCGCACGGCCTGTGCGCCCAGTGGTTTCCTGACCCGTTTCACAGCCCCAACGACCCGTCGCAGCGCGTCTTCCCCATGGGCGCCAGTGCTGCTGGCGCTTCACCCATTGCGCCTCCGCGGGTGGACAGCGACTGCCCTGTTGCAACGTACAACTTTGGGCAGCTGGCTGGCTGTGACGAGCTTGGCCACACCGACCCCTCGCGCCAGGAGGCATGCGCCGCCTACCACGCCGCTGTCTGTGTTACCGCCGGCACGCACAACCACAGCGACACGTGCAAGCGCAACGGCTGTGCAGGTGTGGAAGGAGACTGCGGCATGGTGTTTGGTCGCCTGTACAGGGAGGAACTCAAGTGGCTAGGCGACAACGGCACCTTTGTCCTGCCGCGCTTCGCAACGCACCTGGTGCCCCACACGCCGGGTGTTGCTATGGCCTTTGGCTGCAACCACTTGATGAGCTTGGCATGCGAGGTGGACCGGGAGTACACCGCCGAAGCTGCAGCAGAGCTGGCCGTGGAGCTGTCGAAGCCGGCAGAAGAGCGCAAGCGGCTCGCCATTCTGGGACCTGCCACTGACAGAGCCTGGGACGGCTTCATGTACGTCGGCAAGTATGTCAGCAAGCCCATCAAGACCAGCCAATCCGAGGCCATAGCACGCTCCATTGCCATGTGTTCCTCCTACCTGCTGCAGCCCGAGCCTGCACCAGACGGCCAAGAGCCGAGCTCCATCGGCAACGTCATCGTGGTCCTGCTTGCACTTGGTCGCAGCATCACGGTTGGGATGAACATGGTGGCGTACCAGCTAGCGGGGCACGAGAGTTTCAAAACCACGTACGACGTTGCGCTCTTGCCCACCTTTGCGTTCGCGGGCTTGGCTCTCAGGGCTGCGGACCAGGAAGATGGCGACAGCGAGGCAACTACATTGCTGGTCCAGGACTCCGTGGATGGCAGCTTTCGCGGCGTCACTCAGGTCGATCATTACCAGCTGCGCGGAGACGACCTATGCGGTGTTGAGGGAAGCCCGTACATGGTGTTTTCTTTCTACAAAGTGCAGCGCGTACGTGACACCGCCCGGGCAGACCGTACACGTCGACGCAAGACAGAAGGCTGCCAGCGAGATGGCGAGCAGCAGCCGCAGACGGCGAGCACTGCACATCCGCAGGAGAGCGGCGGCGTTAACAAAGACACTAGCAGCACCTGCACGGGGCCGGTGACCTTTGCTGCTCGCGTCTCCTTCCAGCCAAGCCACCCTCTGTTCCGCACCCACGCACTTGTGCGCCGCAAGCACCCAGCTTATGTTCGCCTCTTAGGCGCTCTGCCTCGCAGGCCAGCCCCTCACGACGTGAACAGCCCAGCCGCCAACAAGTACTATGTCACCATGCTCGCCATCTTCAAATCGTACCGCACCACGCCCGTCCCGTACGGCATGACCCCGAAGCAGGCCTTTGACGACTGGTACACAAACGTGCTAGCCACGGCGCACCCTGACTTCATATCGGTCGTCCGATCCTTGTTGGACAACGTTCAGGAGGCGCACGACAGCAGTGACCGTCGCCGTGCTGAGTGGGACCGCATAAGGCTCGAGCGACGTGCCAAAGGAGGCGCTGAGGATGTCGCAGCCGACGACGCTGGACCAAGCGATGAGGGTGACGAACACGACGGTCGTCAGTACCCGATCGAGAAAGATACGTGGAGCGTGGAGGTACCCGACACCCTTGGCGACAACGACGAGCCGCCTGACACTTGGACAGCTAACCAGGGTGCGTCCAGCGATTTGCTACCAATCTTTGACCTCAGCGCCGTGCCAGACAGCTGCCTATTTGTACCGTGCTCCCGCTCCGAAACTGAGGAGATGAACTACGCCAGGGGCGCCGTCCGCCGCTGCTTGCCAGCGCAGTTGGCGGACGGAGTAGGGCAGGAGAGGAACGAGTGCGTGCGCACAGGGCGTGCCAGTGACGTGGAAGAGCTGAAAAAGGCCCTGTCGAGAGTGAAGGCATATTCCATGCAAGAGCAGGATGGCGGTGCCGGGGGGTACTCCGCCTCTGAGCGCGTGCGCAAAGTACGCCTTCAACAGTCTGGCGGTGCCCTCTCGCCAACGTTCGTCATAGTGGAAACGGAGGAGTTGGCCACAGGCAAGGTAACGGAGCGCAAGCTGCGACCTGGCGAGATGCCACCGCTGCTGCAGGTGCATCCTCCTCCAACCCCGGAACAAACGTTCCAACTGTTCACATTGTCCGAAGATCAGGGTGCTGCGTTCCTCATTATGGCCGAATACTTTGAGGCCTGCATGGCGAAAAAATACATCACGCCTCCCCGCATGCTTGTCGTCGGTGGCCCAGGCATGGGCAAGAGCCAGCTGGTCCACGCGCTGCTGTGGCACACTTTCCAGCACGGCGAGCCAGAGTGGCTAACCACTGCAGCCTACACCTGGACAGCTGCTTTGGCGTTCAGCACACGCGTCCATCGCTCTTTATCCACCCACACCACCTTTCAGCTGCGCGTGGGTGACATTCCCAAAGCCGGCAATGCGCACACAGCGGTAAGCCAATACGTACAGATACCTGTGACGTGCGACCACCTACATCGGATGCATATATTCCCGCCTTGACAAGCACACACACCCTGCAATCAGCATTTGTGCTGTATAACCTACACGTCCACACAATCACCATCGCGTTGCCTACGTTCGCCCTACATTGTTCGCCGCAGGTGCAGAAGCACGTCCCGGGCGGAGCAATCTGCATCGATGAGATCGGGCTCACCTCTCTCAAGCACCTTGGCGCCTGCAACCAGCAAGCCCTTTCGCTGCTGACTCCACCGCCCCACATGCCAGCTGATGACCAGGCCCTAGCCACCTTTAAGGGTCGCGCGCTGATGTTGGTTGGGGACATCTGCCAGCACACCCAGCCAAAAGGAGACCCCGTGCACGCT